ATTGATGTCAAAGTTAGATGTTGGCGCAGAGCTGAGGCTGGTGGATCGACTTCGGATGGTATAGTCATCGTGTGTCGGAATAGTTTGTGGTATCGTATGTGTCAACGGAGTCTCCGTATCTGACCTAGATTCAAACAGAGTCTGAGAAGTCTCATGAGACTTCTTTAGGACTGTGTTAGACCGCCTTTTGCGTGCTGTAGGTGCAGACTGCTTTTGAGATCTTTGTGTGCTGTTTGCTAGCATTTTGCGCACGACAAGAAGCTCCTTTCTTGGCATCTTTGCATGTGGCTTTTGGGAAGGCATTTGAGTGATGAATTCTCGATGGCCTTGTCGGATTGTAAAGAGTGACTCTGGGCCAGCTTCAACGTAATGTGGATTGGTGTAGATTAGGGTGGGCCGAGCATTAAGATCAAGTGTTTCGTGATCCATTTCCAAGTGAAGTTTTTTCTTGATCTCCTGCCTTCGGTGATCCAAAAAGTCAAGCTGTGCCTTTGTCCCACCTCGAAGGAAGTAGACAGCTGAATGAATAACTGAGCCTGCAGGAGTTGGAACTCTGTTTCCCGCTACATGAGTAGCAAATTTTCCCTTGGCATCAGTTACCCATCCTTCTTCTGCAAGACCGTCATAGTTGTAAACAACTGTTTGATCCTGAGAAGCAAAGCGAGCAATGAAATGACCGATCCCAGTTGGTGTGGTAGGAGGACAAAACAGAGAGAGGCCAACAAGATCATAGATCAAGCCCGACTTGTCAGCCAGTGTCTTTGTTGAAGGTAGAAGAGTTGGAGGGAAGTTCCATGCATGGTCAGAAGATGACAGTGGTTCGGCTTCAATGATCAGAATAACAGGAAGTGATAGAAGAATATGCCGAATATCACTTCTTGTTCCTGAGCATTTGTCATCAAGTCGAAAGCAACCACTAGACTGAACTTGAAAGGTCGTATGCACAGCTGTGAATTGGCGGAACCAATCTGCAACTCGACCATTGAATTTCCTGAAATCGCCCTGGGAAAGTTGATGATCCCATCTTCGCCATGCAGGAGAGACAATTTGTAGATGTTGCCCAGAGGTAGTTTGATCACCACTACAACGGTGAATTTCCGTGATTAGAGTGTCGAAATATGCTTGAGCATGACCATAGGTCTCAGAGGTACTATCATGACTAGTGATAGAACTCCGAACAAGTGCCCATAGCCATCCCTATTGCAATAAAAAAATTTGTATTAATATACATATAAAGATATTAATGAAAAACGTACCCAGAGTGATTCAGGACTTTCCATTCCATGAATAATGCTCTTGGAATTAAGAAAGGATCGAAGATTGTTGCGCTCCATATTGAGGGACTGGGAGAAATCAGGATGATTGATATCTGTTCCAGCTTCAAGAAGTCTTCGTGCCTCTAGACAGACAAAGAGTGGCTTCAGAGTGTTGTCATTGTCAAGATCCTTGAAAGTAGTGATGAAGTCTGCTTGATCCAGGCCTGTAGCAGCATAGAGAAGCTCCAGTGAGGTATCCAAATAGCAGGAGTTAGAATTCCACTGAAAGCTGGGAAATAGGCGGGTGATAGATGTCTTCTTCTTAGGGCTTTGGAGGGAAGAAGAAGGATGTGGTACATCAATGATAAGGCGAGTAGAGCTCTCCTGCCTTTTGAGCACAGTAGGAGCCTTGGAACCAACCAATTCCTTGGTGGTATCAGGTGGTCGGCCCATTTCATCCTTCTGAAAGCGCAAGATGTGTTCAGGTACTTCAGAAGCATGACGTACATGTTTTTGCTTCTGAGTTCCCCAGTGTGTCCGCTTTCCAGCTAAAGATAGATAGTAAACACAGTGTATTATCAAATAATCAAAAATGTATACTCACCAGATGAAGCTGTAACACGCCTTTCAAAGGTATCAGAAAGACGTTTGAGCTGACTGATTCCAGGGAAGATATGATGATTTCGTCCACAGTGAGCATAAGTTGACCAGTGTAAAGACTCCTGAGCATTGGTTGTTGATGGAATAGAGTTCCAAGTTGTAGTATCCATATCCTTAACACTCTGAAAGAGCATTGAGGCATGAACATCTCGAAGCCACCATAGAAACCAGCTGCGACACTTTTCAAAGTCATTCATAAGCCCGTGAACTGATTGCCGGAAGTCGGTGATATTGTCAAGGGAGAGAAGAGCCATTGATCTCTGTTTGAATTCCTCCTGTCGCTCAAGAGGAACAGCAGCCCCATTTCTTCCAACACGAGTAATGCTGGCTCGAAAGTGCTCAGCACAACCACGTAAAAGGCCAGAAGCTGCATGTCGAAGTTCATTTCGTGACCGAAAATCATCAGTCCGAGTGATCCAGAACTCTACAAATGCCTCTACAAAGGCTCGGCTTTCTGCATCACTGAAGTCCATGACCTAAGATAATTATAAATAATTATGGCATATGAAAAAATTAGTTACTTACTGATGCAAATAGTCTATCTTCTATAAGGATAGCTCTTTCTTCTGCTTGTTGAGCAATGCTTCGAAAGAGAACCAAGAAGTGAAGTTGGAAGTGTTGTGAGCTTGCACCATTTGTATAAGACCACAGAACAGGAATCCAGCCATCAATGTCAAGACAGTAGACAGAGGAAACCATCAGCAGTGCACCTTTAGTGAGCCAGAACCCATGTGCAGCATCATTAACAATTCCATTGACCGGTTGATCATGGACATTGTCACTGAGAAGATAGTAAGCCATGAAGGGACTTTGCATGGAAATTACTGTGATGATGCCAATCTCCTTGAAAAGGATAAAGCCTGGATTCTCCTCTTCAAACTTGGCAAGGCTGTGAATGAATGAATCTCCTCCATCACCAATGAGACTCCTTTTGACAAGAAGCCGTTCTCGTCCAACACGATGCACATTCTCGTATACTGAAGCATAGTCTGCAACAGATTGTCCTGGGCCATCAAGCTGCCGAGGCCCCTGGATTAACTGCCTAGGCCCTGCATCAGGGCGTGCAATAACAGCATTGGTAAAGTGTTGCCTGGCATCAGGAGTGGGGTGTAGCTCTCTAGATGGTGGGCTGTGACGATGATAGCCATGGTGGACAAAAGTGAATCCATTTTTCCATTCTGTCAAAGAAGCCTCAGCACCACATGGTATATGTTGGAGAATTCCAGCACAAGAAAGTGTCTCAGTTCCAGGACAAGAAGCACCCAGCTGCATCTGTCGCCTGTCAGAATTTGTATGAGGGCGCACAAAGACCTGACAGGCTGGATTGTTGCAGAACAAGATACCCAGGCATTTGAACTTGAGAACCTTTCCACCATCCAAAGTAGGAGAATCTGAGCTGAGGTATTTGGCACGCCGACCAGCACCACCAGAAGTATGGGCCCAGTGAAGAAGGAACTGCTTGCCCATAAGAGCCCTTTCATCTCGAGTAAAGGTCCGAGTAATGTTCCCATCTGGAAGTCCATCCCAGTTGAGCTGGCTTTCAATGCTGGTAGGCATAGAAACATATTTGGGAATAGAGCCATGGATATGAGAAGAGGAGATGTCTTCAGCAGATGGAGTAGCATGAGTGATGCTCGTGGTGGGATTGGCTGCTTGGGTTGCTGCTAGTACCTGATGGACAACTGTAGTGATCATCTTGTTGAGATCCAAATCTGAAGTTTTCAATTAATGTATGCCAAAGAATCTAGAATAACAAAATTTACTTACCTGCATATGCATTCTCCTTCAGATGCTGAGCATCAGTTTTGGATTTGTGTTTTTGTTCTTTTTTGATTTTGGCTCTAGGCATGTGGTGGTCATGCATAGTTTTATCATTGGAAGACAGGTGCTTGAAGCCAATTAAATTATCTAATGCCAAATCTGTCAATAAAATAATTCACAGAAGATTAAATGACTTACTATTTTTGTCATAGACAGGATAATCTTCTCCTTGCATTGATATCTTCCTCTTCTTCCTTCTTGAATGTTCACCATCATCATCCAAGGGATGTTTTGGCCATGTCAATGAGGAAAGTGAGGGGCCAGAATTAGGAATAAATAGCTTATAAAGCCATGCAAATGTTTCCTGAGATTTAGATATACATTTAGTCAGAATATTCATGAACCAGTAAGAGAGAGAATACCTTGAGATTCATATTTGATTAATTGAGATGCTGGATAATTAACTTGATTGTGTTGGAACAAAGATGAAAAAAGTGATGCTCATTTATACTGCTGCAGAATGAAAATAATTTTTCCAAGCTGTACAATACTATAGAAAAGAGAGATTGAACAGAAAAACATTTAAATGACCAAGATCAAGTGTGTACACAGGTATCTACCTACAGCCACAAGCGCGCGGCTCTTATTTCAATGTGCGCGTTCCGACAATGGCTATGCGCGTTCCGCTCGCGTTCCCATCAATCAAATCACGTGATCTAACCGTTCCAACGCGTTCCATAATTTTGCTCTCGTTCCGGCGCGTTCCCAGAGGAACGCAAACATTTTCATTCACGTTCCACTTTGCTTCAACACGTTCCAGGTACGTTCCGGCATCTACTTCTAACTCCAAAATACTGATGTACTCCGGCCTTTGATAGTGATAAAAACTATTGTCAATGTTCGCTCATAGCATCTACTCATTCCCGGATACAGTATGTATGATTTATACCCCCAACATGTGAGAACTTACTCTTATTATGGCTTTTAAACAGTCAATGATTCAAAATGAACAACTCAGTAACAGCGAGACAACTCAGGCAAGTCTCATTCTCATGTAAAGGCCAATGTTATTGACGAAAATTTTTACAACTTTTTCATTCATACGCGTTACGGGAACGGGAACGTGAGGAACGTACACGTTACACGTGGAACGCAAAAAGTATGTAGCCCTTCCACGTGCTATGCCCAGCCGCGTCGCGTCGCGTGTTCATCCCCGCTCGTCCTCGTGTACACCAAGCGTAAACGCCTCCACATTGGCTATTGGCTAGCGGCTACGTACGTATGTCGACAAAATATGGAAAATAAATCGGTCACTCGTCGAAATGGGGGCACCGCGGATTGAACGCGGGACCTTCAGAATTAACTCTGAATGCATGAAAACACTTCAGTCTGCTGCTCTCCCAACTGAGCTATGCCCCCTGTAACCCTTACGAACGCGTCGCGATGATTCTCGAGTGTCAGAAGCCGTGGCGAGGGAGACGAGAGTGGGCGAGACGCCGCGCAGCTGATCTGATCGAAAGTCCGGTTCCGAACCCGATGCGACACGACACGACGCGAGCTACAAGTATAGCGTGATCACAGAAAGATACGAGCTACATAGGACTCACTATACCCAGCCAAAGCGAAACCACTTCAAGAACGTGCTGAACAGACACAGCGCTCGCCCGGCGCTGGCTACCCTCATCCCCATCTCCATCCGACCCGCGCAGGCCACCCTCGCGCGACCCGAGTAAAAGCAAAGCACACAGACATCTAGACAACATGTAAGTATATCCAAAAACGTTGCGTACCTAGTTTGACGCGTCGGTATGGGGGCACCGCGGATCGAACGCGGGACCTTCAGAATTAAGCATGAGTGACCAGGCACTTCTACTTTACTTCAGTCTGCTGCTCTCCCAGCTGAGCTATGCCCCCTGTATGCTTGATGTCCACACGCCACACGCTGTGGTTGTGTGGCGTGTTAGAGGCGAGGCGAGGCGAGGCGAGGCGTGGGTGTGGCGAGGATCCGAAGCGGCCAAGTCAGTACCATGAACGAGAGCCGGATTCCGACAGACTTAATCTTGGAAAAACACGATCATCCATTGGTATTGAAGCTGAAGACTCGGAAGGCTGCTGGGCTACTAGTGTACATGGGCCCATGGTGGATCTGAACCACCAGTGACCCCGCTCGCGCGCAGCGCGCGGCGCAATCCCATTCCGCGCCACGCCACGCCACCACGAAAGGCCTGCGTACGAGGTCCCCCAGCCTGTGAATCGTTAGTGATTGTACGGTGCGAAG